CCTCCCACAGCCTCGCTGGCTGCTCTCCGAAGGGACACAGTGTCCCCAGGTAGGAGGATGGGGTGACGGATGGCTCTACACCCCCCCCCGGCGCTCCCTTTGCACTCGGGAATTCACAACAGGCTCTGCCTTCAAGAAACAACATAAAAAAAGACCCCAAAACCTCATCACAAAGCAACTGCAGAGAGACAGAGAAGAGCAGTGACGGCGCGAGCTTCCCCAGGCGCAGCACACCCCAGCACGGGCGTTTTGGCAAATGCCACCTGGATTTTCCCCTCCTGACAAGTTTCAAACCACCTTCCTGGCGGCTGTCAATGCAGGATGCCTTGTTAATTGATAATCAAAGTTAATTAGTTTCCTATGCATTTCATTTCCTCCCGTCATAGCACGCTTCACCGAAAGCTGCCTATCGAGCGGAGACATACTGTTGCTGCGGGACTTCTCGATGAAAGGCCCGTGGGGGGGCTCAGTAGCTTTCCTCTTGTACGTCTTCGTGACCCGGTCCACGTCTGGCTGTTTCCGTGTCATCTCCTCCATAAAGGACTGTCAAAATACAAAAGGGACAAGAAAACCTTTGCAGTTTCAAGATGTTTTTCGGTCTCCTGTCGCTCCAGATCCTCGCTGGGACGTGCCAAGCCCACAGAGGAGATGTGAGCGTTAAGCACCGGCGATGGGGGCTTGTGGTCAAGCTATTGCACAGCGCTGGTTTGGATCCGCAGACGGTGGAGTTCATCCCCTGGGCTGGCTTTGCTCCCAGGTGACAGCTCCGGTTGGGTCACACGCTGTTTTAATAGGGACTTCCAAGAGAAGTCCATGCCTCCTCCATGGAGGGGCAGGAACCCTGCCCCTGCCCCTCTCCCGAGTGCCCGCCGTGTTTGGCGCTGGGCTCACCTGGTGTTCGGAGATGAGGGCTTTGACCTGATCAATATTTTGTGGCGTGGGCTCCTGGTCCCGCTGGATCAGGGTTGTCTCAGCCCACTGGATCCAAGCCAGGAGCTCTTCCAGAAGCTCCGCGTTCGCCACCAGCTCGGAAAGTGCAGACTCCAGTCTCTGCTGGTGCTGCTTCGCCCACGTGAGAACCTGTTGGAAACGCAGAGACGACCGTCAGCCCAGCGTGGGAAACCCGGGGCAGGAACCAACACCACATGGCCATCCCTGGTGGTGGTGTCCACCACCGCCTCTCACCATCAGCCTGGAACAAAGCCTGGTGGACTCACCTCCTCGAACCTGGCTCGGATGATGGTGATCCAGTGTTTGATCGTGGTGATGCAGTCGGGATGGCAGGCGGCCAGGATGACCTCCCCCATGCCCACTGCTGCGTTCACGTCCACTCTCTTCTCCTCCACTTTCTTCATGAACTCCTGAAAGGCCCAAAGGAATTATTTTGCAATATTCTCCCCCATAAATTTTGCTCGGGTTGCGTTTCAGAGCTCCCCACTACCTTGTGCGCGTCAATGAGGGACTGCAGCGCCTCGGCGTCGTCGGGAAGCGCTCCCCGAAAGCGCAGGGACTGCTCTGCCTCCGAGAGCCACTCCAGCAGCATGTGCACGGCTGTCCTGAACTCCTCTGCCTGTGGCGACAAAAAAGCACAGGCGTTAGCCCTGCTCCTCCCAAAATGGGCCACTCAATTCACTGCTGAGACCTGGAGAGACAAAGGGCTGAAAGGGACTTTAAAAACAAATAAGAAAAGGGGGAAAAAAGCCCTGTCTGTTGGCCTGGGCTTGTGCACCACCAGCAGCCGGGTCCCACGGCAGCCGGGCACCTCCCTCCCCTCGGCATCAGCCGCACTAAAGAACTGAATGTTTTTAAAAACAGCACAACTACCCGTACTCTGACCAATTTGGCACCTGGGCAGTTTATTCTGTAAATTGTCTACTTGACGTAAAAACTACTTAAGAGCCTTCGACCTTTTTTTTTTTTTTTAGCTTCAGTCTAGGTCTCTCTCTTGCACTGGACACTAGCAAACACAACCCCGAAAACCCCCGAACAACCGCTCTATTCCTGCCGTGCGCATCGGTGAGATCTTTTCATCCTCCCTTTTCAAATCAGCCTTTATCGGCTCTTCTTTAGGGAAAAGAGTAAGTAAATAATGGACACCAACCCACTCTGCAGTTCTCACTGGTAACCGCTGCAGGGCTGGGGTGTCCTGCTTGGCCAGGAGATCAGCCCCTGGGCAAAACCTCTTCTCTGAGGTTTGTGTTTGTGTACAGCACAAACCTGTAGCCCCAGCAAAGCTCTCCGAGACCCTTTCCACCCCTAGTCTTCTGCTCACCTGCTTCAAGGCCTGTTCCAGACGGGTTTGTTTGGACACGGACAGCTTGCACACCGTGTCCCACCGGTTGCTCAGCTCCTGCAGCTGCACCTTCACCCAGGTCGTGTCGTCCCGGCTGTTCTCGATGAGCTCCCGGCCGGAGCGCTTGAGCACCTGGACCGTCCCCGTGCGCTTCCCCAGCTCCTTCTGGAAGACCTGGAGGGAGAGAGGGCAGAAGCCGGGCGGGCCCAGTCAGTCCCAGCGGGTTGTTTCACGTGGGGAAGAAAACAGGGGGCACATCTGAAATAGTTTGTACCGTGGGTTTTGCACCCACGTTAGGGATCCGCCACAACCCGGCGTGATGGGAGGGCAGGCAGGTAGGGAGCTAGACAGCGCAGGCAGCTCCTGAGCACGTTTCAGCGTCAGCACACGTGGGCAGGAGCCCCAACCTTCCACCCTGGCAGAAGCAGTCGTGACCTGGAGCAGACGAGCCCTAGCCTGGGAGCTCCGGCTGCAACGCAACGGCCGCCTTGAATGGAAGCCCAAGCCCCGTCTGGTGATTTCAACGCGTGACCTAATCCCAACCCAGGAGCGCCAGTCTCCAAGACACGCTGGAGAGAACTGCCAAGACCAAAGTTTACAGAGGACTATAAATTCAGCCACCTTTTCAAAACTAAACCCTCAACAGATCTGACTGATAGCGTCTCAGAAGAACAGAGCTCCAGCTCCTGTAACCCACGTAAAAGTTTCTTCCTACTTGTTCACCCAGTTTTTGCCCTCCTTGTCCACCACAGCAAAGCAAAGCAGTGAGACACGCAGCTCTGCAGCAAGGCACCAACTCTGGCTCCTCTGTTCTTTGGCTCTTGGGGAAGACAAGCCCTACTCATGTCCCAGAGAAGAGCTGGAAAAGGTGCTCTCACCTTGTGAGCATCCATCAGGTTCATGACCAGATCCAGATCCCCATGGACAGGCTGGTCTTCAGCTAACTGGGGTTCCACCTTGTAGAGCCAGTCCACCAAGGCCTGCAACGCATCCATGAACTGGCCAGAGAACAAGAGGGCTTCTTCCAGCTTGTGCTGCCTGAAAAACAAACATCCCTGTCAACTTCCATGAACAAACTCCCCTCCTCTTGTCATGTCCCAGTGACCTCCTCCAACCACCCCACGAAATCGCTTCCCCTCCTCTGCTCTCCACTTTGATGAGTCCTCGGCAAACAAGTGCTGTTGGTACAACGTTGGGGCTGGACTTACCTTTCCACAGATTTGCCGCACACTGTGTCCCACTTATCCCGGACTTCTCCCAGCAAATTGTCCAGCTTTTGAGTGTCATCTGGAAGCAAGGCTTTTTCTTTGAGGGCTCTGCCCGTCCTGATGGTGGTGTCGTAGACAGGTTGCTTCCCCCCCAGCGTCTTCTGGAACTCCTGGGAACCGGAGAGAAAACAAAACTGTTTCAGAAAGCCTGGCCTTGGGTTTCTGAAGATACACGGTGCTTGTGAAGATCCCCAGCTGAACATTTTCCATGGCAGCGGTAAGCGTGGACGTGCCTTTCCCCTGGCCTGACGGCAGAGGAGGTGCTGCCCTGCTCCCCGTCCCGAGAAAGCACCCTTCCACCCAGCGTCCAGCACCGGTCCCGCATCCAGCACCGGTCCCACTTTGGCAAAGCTCTACCTTGTGTTTGGAGAGCTGGAGCTTGATTTTGTCGGGATCATTGGAAATTTCCAGCTCCGAGTCCAGGTGATTCTCTGCGTCCTCCAGCCAATCAATCAGTTTCTTCCAAGCTTCGTGGAACTGCAAAGAAACAGGAGCAAGTCTGAAACTTAACGGTGGTGGGTCCCCAGTCCCCTTCTGGTCTTGAGACCTCCTGTTCCTCAAGGTTGGCCATACTTTGGGGTCCGTCACACCCTTCCCGTGTTTCTCACCTGCTTGGCTCGCTTCCTGGCATCATCAAGAGCCCGTCCCCGCTCCACCGAGCGCTGGACAACCTTCTCCCAACGGGACTGGACGCTCACCAGCAGGTTCTTGATCAACACCACATCCTGCTTTTGACTGAGAAACTTCAGCTGGTTCCCGGTTTGATCCAGCTCGATGATGCGATCCCGATGAGCGTTCACCTCGTTGGCGAATACCTGCGAACGGCAAAGATGTCCTCTTACCTGTAAGGGAGCTGGACGTGCCTGCGAGCAGCCCGTGGGCGCAGGGGAGATGAGGTGCCCCCCTTGCTCCCTCCATCCCAGGGAGCCGTTGGGTGCTCACGGTGCCGGTACCTTGTGCTCGTCGATCTGGGCCAGCACAGAGTTGAGGATGAGGCTGGCCGGGGGCGCAATGTTCAGGCTCTGCTCGGCCAGCGTGAGCCAGTTGATGAAGTCCTGGAGGGAGTTCTGGAAGTCCGTGGCCAGGGCCAGCGCCTCCTCCAGCTTCGCCTGCCGCAGCGGGGAGGAAGAAAGGGGGGGGGGGGGGGAAAACAACAAAAAAAAAAACACACAGCACGGGAGGGTGAGAGCTCACGATCTGCAGTTTCGCAGACAGAGGCAGCCTTTGTGTCCCTGCCGAAACGTCCCTCTAACAGGAACCTCATCGCCTCGGCCCGGGAACGCGACTTGTTTACCAAGGGGAGGAGGTTTCAGTGAAAGCCACCGCTTTCTTTCAAAACAAGAATCGCCCCTGAAAGGGGAGACCTTCATCGGCACACGAGCAGCTGCGTCACCCTCAGCTTCCTGAGAAAGGGACTGCCATAGGGAGAGCGGCTCGGTAAATGAGGTGGATGGTATTTTGATGGTAACAGCTGCAGCACCGCAAATTTATTCTGGGCTGAGGCCACCGTGTCCCTTGTTTTATCTCATCACCAGCCAAAAGCCTAGGATGGAGTCAGCTCAGAGGAGGATTTGGCCTGCTGTCTCGCAGAGGACCAACAAAGCCTGCCTTTCAGAGCTGCAGGAGGTTTCTTCCCACCTCTCCTCTAAATTAACCCAAAACGCAATTTTACTCTCATTTTCTGTGCGATTTAACCGACTCTGATGACTATCTAGAAAAATAAATAACAGCTTGATGCTCAGACAGCACCATCTGAAAGACAAACCCAACCTGTGCGACCAAGAGAGAGCTTGTCTAAAAAAAAACAACCCAGCCCTGGCCCGCTCCATCCCTCCCGGGGAAAGCAGAGCAGCAAAGCAGGGAGCAAGCGCTGTCAGACCGGCTCACGGGGCAAGGGTGGACAGCATCCCTCCACCGACACTACCTTTCTCTCCTCCATCTTGGTGCTGACCAGACACCACTTCTGCTCCAGCAGCGCTACGCTCTGCTCCGTCTTTGAGCCAGAGCCCGAGTCATCGCTGGCCAGCAGCTGACTGTAGACGTCCTCCTTGGCTTTGAGCTGGCTGTACAGCTCCTGCAAGGGAGGCATCACCGAAGTGTTAGACAAAGGAAGAGCTCAGAGAGGGGCCACGGCTTGCTGCGACTCAGGGTGATGAGAAAATTAGGTTCAGGGCAGGCAGCAAAGTGACAGCCGTGCGTCACTTTGAGCAGAGAAAGGTGGTTAAAGCACCGTGATGCTTGTCCCAGGCATCGAGTGCAAAATTATCTGTAAGAAGAGACCAGAGGAGCACTCTCCTTCCCATCGGATACAGAAGGGAGAAGTTTTGATGCTGATATTTGACAGACAGGAGCTTGCTGAATTAAAAGCATTAAAAATCTCTCCTAAGAAATTACCATGTGGGCATTGAGTTGTTCCCGCGCAGTTTCTGGCAGACCCCCTGTGGGTTTTGATGCCGACAATTGGCTCTCCATCCTCGTTAGCCACAGGAGGAAGTCTTCAATCTCACCATGGAAACCCTGGGCCTGTTCGGGAACATATAATCGGCCACAGATCAGATGACATCAGCCACCATTGATCATGCGCCAGGGTTAACGCTGTGTTTGCTTCAAAACCAGATAAAGAGGCAGAGCTGGATGCACCAGCGCATTAAAGGAAGGTTATACATTGTACCTCCTTAACCACACGGGTCTGCCTGGTCCCTGCCGTGCTTCTGGGCAGGCACCGAACCGCTCCAGGACCAAGAGTTAAATGAAAAACTTGCATAAAAGAAATCCCAGTGTGTCTCTCTAACTCCTTCCCCCTTCATTTCTCCCCAAAAGGACCCTCAGCAGCTCTCTGCGGCACAGGGGGGTACCCCCGACGCGTCTCCCTGACCTGCTGGAGCGTGGACTGCAGCTGCTGCTCCCGCTCCTCCGTCTTCTGCAGCACCGACTCCCAGCACGAGTTCAGCTTCTCCAGGCGTTTTCGCAGGCTGCTCGCGTCGTCCCCTGCGCTCGACTCCAGGAGCTCGTTGCCCGCTTTGTTCACCGTCTCCACGGTCGCTTGGTGGGCCAGGACGTCGTTCTTCAGCACCTACATGAGACGTGGTGGGCCAACGTTGGGACGCCTCTCTAAAACACCCTGTTAATTCCTGCATGCTCTCATGGACTCAAACCAACTCAAACCCTGCATGAGAAATAAACTCCTGCAACGGGAATAGACTAAAAACGGACCTGGAGCGGGAATACTCACATGGTGCTTTGCGAGTTCAACCTCGATGATTTTTGGGTCTCCATTGATGGGTTTTTGCGCGTCGAGCAGCTCCTCGGTGTGGGTCAGCCAGGCCATCAGCTCCGCCAATGCGTGCTGGAACTGGCCGAGTGCCAGGAGAGCGGCTTCTAACTTATGCTGGGCAAGGACAGGGAAGGAAAAGGAAAGTTTAAGTCGGGAAGGAGGGGGAGCATCCCAGCGAGTTTCAACCCCGCACTTGCAAGAGCCCAGATCTTCTCTCTACCTGTCTGTGAGCAATTTTCTCGCCCAAATTCTCCCAGAGATGTTTCAGTTCTGTCAGTGGTTCCTTTATGATGTCTCTGTCTGTCTCATCTGTAGCTTTTTTTAGCATCAGTTCACCTTGGTGATTAAGCTTTTCCATCTCAATCTGCTGCTGGTAAACCTCCATTTTAAACTCCTGCCAAAACAAGCAGGACAAAAACCAGAACAAAATGAATCATTGAGCGCGAGCTCTACGATGCAAAGCAAGCACCGGAGAACTGGTCCCACTCTACCCGCGTACCTTCATCTCGTTCATCTGCTCCTTAACCGTGTTGAGGTCAGTGCCGACAGGAGACATGTTGCAGAGTTTGATCACGGCGTTATCCAGCCAGTCGAACATGGCCTGAAAGGAGGGCCGACACCGTTAGCAAAGGGAATGGCAAAGCGTGCTCCCTCCGCAGCTGGTCGGGGAAACCACCCCGCAACCATGAAACTTGTCTTTTGGGGCAGAGACGCCTGCTTGGCCAGCACACTCTTTTGCAAGCTCTTTCCTCCCCTCCCCTGCTTCCAGCAGAAGGACCTGACGGCAGCCAGGCTCATCCTGCTGCTTCATGCAGAAATGAAGAGACGTTTGGGAAGACAAACCCAGTCAAATGTCTGCTCTTCCTTGGAGTTGGCTGGTGAGCTCAGGCTGTAACAAAGGCTGCAGACACTCACCCAGGAGACATTTCCCTGCTTTGCATTAGTGCAAATCCCAGTACAACTCCAGGGAGAGAACTCGCAGTGGTGTTCCCGAGGTCTACCCACCCCACACACACAGCCCTGCCTCTTACTTGAAGCGTATCTTGGTATTGCACAGCCGACTGCATGGCTTCTTCAAGCTTTTCAAGCCTCTCCTTCCACGTTTTGTTTAGATTTTCCCACGCGTTGTTCATCTGCGGAACACAAGGTTGCCCACAAAATTCGTTAGGCTCTCCCACTCGCTGCTACCTGATTTTATCCGGAGGAGAGGCTGCTGGTTTTCCTACCTCATCAATGCTCTTTTTCACTTCTGGTTTCTCAGTTTCGCCACAGGCAAAAATTAAATCAGTTCCAAGGAGTCGGATGAACTCCAGCTCTTCATGCAAGCCATCCGTCTCCTCTTTAATAGTCTGCATATAACACAGCGACAAAAGAAAAATATTATTAAATGCGCTTCCAAAATTGCCCCATGAACAGGAAGGCTGAAGAACGGAGAGTCCTTCCTGCTCTGGTGTCCTCACCCTGGCCGACAGCCTGACGCCAGACCCCAGGACTAGGTTACCCAGCGAGCAGACGGCTGTCCTGCTCGCCAGCACTGCCACCACCAACCTGGTCTGCTCCCACCTCTGGCCACCGTGGCAATGCTGCTGCGTGCAGAGGTTGGGGGAACTAAAATAAGAACATCCGTATTTAGCTTTACGTGTGCCTGAACTGCCTGGTTGAAGATGTTGTTTACAAGAGATGTACTGTTTACAGGAGTATTTTGTCAATACAGAAATTAGTTTTTGAGACTCCAAAGTTGCAAACCAAAGTCAGGGTGGTTATAAAAGGGAAATAGCAAGGACAAACTTAGCAAAGCATAAAGAAACATCCCTGTTCCCCAAGGTGCAAGTCAAGTCAAATCCACCTGAAGTGGATTTCACCACTTAACTTGAAACAACCAAACACCACCACACAAATCCAAGCCCATCCAGCTTTACAATTATCTCCAGTCTAACCAAAATCTAAATATACACTTCCCACGCTAGACAGCACTCAGATGCCTTCGACTCAGACTGGGAGCAGAACCATGCAAACTTCCACATCACTCAAAACAAGTGGGCACACAACTCTGACCACACGCTTGATAAGCTTCCCAAAACAGCAGCAGATAAAGTGATTTAAGCATCATTTCCTTGTCTGGAACAGGGGGCGGTGGTGGTGGGGAGGGATATGTGAAATACACTTCTGTTTTTTTCCTTGCAGTTCCAAACTGCAATGGAAATAACATTTCATAATCCGACTGCCTGCCTACAAAACTGTTTTACAGCCACTTCTGGCTGTGCTCATATCTACGATCTACCCCAATTTAGCTTACAAGCTGGGTGCAGACAAGTTCCATACGGGGGTACAGTCCTATGGTCCTCACCTCTGCCGCTTCCACCTGCTGCTTGATGATGGAGGGGTCAATGCCTGGGCTCTCCAGGTCGTGAACGATGTCCTGCGTGTCTTTGATGGTAGTCAGGAGGGCTGCCATGTCGTACCAGAACTTCTCTGCAAGCTCCAGGACATCAAGGAACTTCATTTCACGTTCCTCCGCCCGAGCTTTGATGTCTTCCCAGAAGAAGACCATCTGATCCAACTTATCCTGGATAACTGAGGAAGGGAATGAAAACATTCAGTGAAGAAGGAAACCTTTCTACAACTCAAAAGCATTTTGCAAACACTTTCCACGTAGAAATAGCCAACAGAATATTCAAATAGGGATTAAAGATGACCAGGACTATCAGAGCATTAACTCAGAGATACTGAGGGACATGAGAAACTCCAGCTTGCAGAAATAAAGCCTTTATTTAAGCGCAGGCAAGCTCGGGGCAAATTTGCCCACACATTCTCCTCCAAGGAACCTCTGTTCTGGCCACCTCTAGCGTGAAGTCTACGCTCACTCAGTCCATGAGCTGGCTGTTGAGTTGCCAAGAAAGGCGCCAATTAGTGCCAATCGTGTTGACAGGTCTTTTTGTGCTGGGGATGTTCCTTCCCTCCATTAGATGCTGAATCGACACCAACAAATCGTTTCACAGGGGCCACCAACGGTTGCCGCAAGAGACCAGCTCAGGGTGACCAGCTCAGACCTCTGCCTGAGCAGCCACAAATACTTCTTTCTCCTCTGGCTGATACCACCCTGTCTGCTCCAGATGGAAGCAGGCACCAGATATCTGCGTGCAGAGGACTCATCCTTCCTCCTAAGGCCAGGAGACCCTCTGAAATAACCCCTGGGACATCAAAATCTCCCCCATGGTGATGGAGCCATGGTTTGGGTAGGAGAAGCTGGGCAGTGCTACCAGCCCAGCCAGCACCTTCTGTTAAATCCACCCCAAGACACCTTTCGCTGCCAGGTCCTTGTCCGTTCCCTGCGATCGCCCGATCAGCTCTTCCCCGCGGCGTTTCAGAGCCTCGAAGGAGGGCTGCAGCTTCTCCAGCTCCACCGTGGCGTTTTTGTTCTCGCTGATGCACTCCCGGATCTTATCGACCTCGGCAGGGATGAGGGGTGGCATGCGCAGGCGGGAGGAGAGGGTCTCCAGCGTCTCCAGCATGGGCTCGATCTTATCATGGAACTGGAGAGGAGCAAGTCCATTAGGGCAGGCAAGATGAGATTAAGCAACGCTGCATCGCTCCCCTGCGTGTGCAACAGCCCTCAGCGCTGCACCCAGCGGCCTCTCGGAGAGGACAAACATTGCCTGCAACAGCAATTAAACCTGCAGCCTCCTGTTTATGCCTGCCTCCGCTTTCCTCTGCTGCCAACAGCCCCAGGCTGCACCAGCTCAAACCATACATCAGCCATACAGACTCACAGAGCCAGCACAGGCAACTGTGAACCAAACACGGCAGCGATTTGTCGCCGGCTTCAGCCCTACAAAATTCACATTTTTGACCGCTGTCCCACTTCTTGCAGACGGGCAGCGTGGCAAGAAAACCCAATCCCGTTTGTTTGAGCATCCACGCAAAGGTGCTGCTGGAAAAGTGCCCACGTTTGGTGCTGACGGAAATCTCCGCTCGGTGCAACGCCAGCGAGAAAACCACCCCGGCAGGGTCAGCGGGAGATGGTGGAAGGCCGCATGCGCACGGGGAGGAGCGAGCTGCCGCAGAGCTGGGGCTTCAAGAAAAGCAGAACCAGAAAGCCAAGAGTGAGAGAGGAAGGGGGTCTAGCAGGGTTTATTATTATTATTTTTTTTTTTTTTAAAGAAAAGTCAACTTTGGCCTTTAAGATCCCAAACCATCTCTGCTGGTGAGAAGGACAGCTCTGCACTCTGGCTGCTAGCTCAGGTCCCTCTCTGCAGGACACCAGCGTTGGCGTTCGCCAAGTCCCAGGCTCTAACAGCAGAGAGGAGAGGGGCTCTCGGTCCAAAGTTGATCAGGAGCACGCTGGCTCAGCCAACAAGCAGGAGCAAACGGGCAAGTCCAGCCAGAGCGGAGAGCTCCACGCATCGGTGTAAACCGCTCTGAAAGCAAAACCTCTGCTTTGCAGGAAGCATTCCCAGCGGAAGCTGGCCGCGGCCGAGACCAGGCGGCAGTGCAACGAAAGCCATCTCGGAAACGTGATTTCAGGCCCCCGGAGTTAATTATTAAGCACGTCCTGCTGAGCTGCGCACGGACCAGAAATAAAAGTCCGGGTGTAAAATAGAATCAGCCCAAAGAAAGAGCGTAAATGAACATCTGTGGCGGTGGGGCTTACCTCTGTAATCTGCAATGGTGGGGCGCAGTCAACACAAGAATGAAATGGGACCATGTGGGGAGGACGGGCACAGGCAGCAACACACACAGATAACACATTCCACAACGGGAGTGAGAGATGAGACGGGAGGGGAGTGTGGGGGGAAAAACTCGGAGTTAATACAAGTGCAAACCAAGAGAAGTGACTACACAATACAGGAATAAAAAAAAAAAAACAAACACCCAGACATGACAAAAACCAACTGTGCTATGGTAACACGGGGTGAAATGAAACATAACTAGGGGTCATAAACCTCAGCAGCAGGAACTCTTCACCCCCTTTCTGGACTTTAGCACCTACAGTCTCTGCCCTTCCTTTCATATCTCTGCTCCTGCAGCCACTGACCTTCTCTGGAGATGCCCAGACCCTGGAGACGACCGTTAACTCTCCCATACAAAGGATCCCGTGGCCGTTCACTGCACACGCAGCTTATCAGAAATGAAACTTATCTCTCCAAGCTCTTTCAAGAGGCTCTCCGGGCCCTTCCAACCTTGGGTGGATGCCAACACAGCCCCTTTGAACGAGCATCATTATTGAGGTTGTAAAAATTTATTACCCTATTTACTATGTCAAGATTCAAACGCCTTCTCCCCCGCTCTCACAGCCAGCGCTGAGCAGCAGGAAACTACCCTGGAGGTGTCTGACCACGTTGTGCCTTATGAAGGGTTTTACAATCGTAACACTCAGAATAAAACTGCATTTCAAAGCTCGTGGCTTCCCCAGGGGACTGTGACAAGAAGACTCGGCTCCTTTGCACCCCAGCCTACCTGGGTGGACTGCGAGACGGCTTCATCGAGCGCGAGAGCCCGCTGGCACACCTCCTCCTTGATTTTGGCATACATGGCCTCCGCCGTCGAGTATTTTTTCTGCACCATCTCTCCTTCCTCGGGGTTGAGGTCCTTGAGCTGCGGTCCGATTTTCAGCAGCTTGTCAATATGAGGCTTATGTTCAGCAATGGACTCTCTCAGTTGCTAGGGAATAGGGGGGGGAAAAAAAGACATTTGTTTAGAAATCTATTGAAAGCCATTGCCTATTTATTTCATGCAACACTCCAAGAGCAGCGATCGTATCTGGTAGTGAACTCACACCGTGGATTTCTTGAACCAGCATCTGCCAAGCACATGGCACTCGGCTCTTCCTAACATGGCCACAGCTCTGCACGTGCCGGCTCATCGCCCGGCACGGGTCCTTCCCCGGCACAGCCGCCTCCTGACCCTCCCCGCAGGGGACACCACTGAGAAAATTCGCTTTGCAGCTCTCTACCCTAAAAGCACAAAGCTGTTTTCCCTGCCGCAATCAGGCAGGAGATCTGAAGGCAGCCAGGCTCCCTTAGGTGCAGTCTGTATTTTAGTAAGAAGGGCTCCAACGTAACTAGTGATTTCCACATGGTACACTCACAGCACACTTGTATTACATAGGCAGGACCCCCAAAAAGAAGAGAATGGGGGAAAAATATCAGAAGAATTCAGAAAAGAGGCACTCTCGCCCCTGCGAGCGCTGCGCCTCCGCTTAAGGTAGAAGAACCAATGGTGCAGGAGACGCAAACGCCGCGTCCTCTTACCCTCATGTCCTCCTGCTGCTGCTTGAGCTGCTCGTGATCGATGGCCGGAGGGGGCAGCTGGGAGATGAGGGCTTGCGTCTCCTCGATCCACGGATTCAGCTCCTCGTAGGTCTCCCAGAACTGGTTGACCAGGACCTGGGCGCGCTCCAAGCGAGCGTAGCGCTCCGAGTTGAGCTGGCTCACGGCTTCGTACTGTTGCACCAGGGACTCGGTTTTCTCCTAAAAAAAAAAAAGGAGGGAGGAGAGTTATAGCAAGGGATGCAAAAGGGCCCAGGAATAACGCCAGCTGCACGCTGCGAGCTGGAAGAGCAGGAGGTGCCTTTGGTGGCCTTCCACGCGCGCAAGCTGTAATTCCAATTAAAGCAGCCGCAGAAATCTCTGCTGTCCCCCCCCCCTCCTCAAACACTGCAATAAAAATAGGCAATAAAGGAGAGTAATAAATGTAAAGAGATTTCTGCTAACGCTGGTGGGAATTACTAAAGATGGAATAATTTTAAACTACTTCAGCCCGTGCACGAGCTGAGCATTCGCCTCTCTGCCCTCTCTGTCTGCCCCGTCGTGGCAAACAGCGGAGGGAGGCTCACCTGGAGAACAGCTTTTTGTTCCTCCCCGCACGTCCCAAAGATCTCGTTGCGCTGGCTGAACAGTTCGTCCATAGAGTCTTTGTGCCGAATAATGTCGATGGAAAAAGCCTGCAGAAAGGAAACGTCCAAAGAAAGGAAAGAAATCAGAGCTGAGCCCAACCTCTCCCCCCAGCCCATCCACGGGACCCTCCTGCCCGCGCCAGCTGTAGCAGGCAGCAGAGCTCCGCGCGGCAGAGACCACACAAAACTCAGCACAAGTGTCCTGCGGCACACTGAAAATCTGGCTGAAAATGCGGATTACTGCATGTTTTTCTCATGACTCATCTACATCAACCTCTCTCTTTCAAAGGCCTGAAAACAGCCCTTGAAATGAGGTGTCAGTCAACTTCCACACCCAGGGTCCTCACCGGAGGAAAAGCTCTACCATCCATTCGTTAGTGAACGTGTTACCCCCCCGAAACGATGTTCTCCAGAACTGCATCTACCAATAATTTTGCCGTTCCCAAGGTCCACGCGATTAACAGCAGGAAGCCAAGCTGAGCTCAATTTAACTTTATGCTTGACGGTTCAGTCCCCCTCCCTTATAACAATGTCTTCTTTTTCTTTTTTTTTTTTTTAAATCCAATAAGCCTGTATGCTGCTCTGATTGCCGGGGCTGGTAAGGGAAGAAAAGGGCCGTTTATTTAAAGTGCACGTTCTTTCAGGCATGAGCTCATCTCAAAGATATAAAAAAACCCCAGCATCTCTTTGTTCCATGTCTGGCTGCTGGGAGGGAAATGAGGAGTCCCCCACTGCAAGGAACAATGAGCAAAAATCAAATGTAAAAGCACCCTCATTAATCAATATATACATTTCTCTAAACCCTTCCCGCTGCCAGTGTCTGCAAGACCCAGGCAGAGCTTGCTCCGGCAGCCGCAAGGAAAGCTTTCGGAAGGAGCAGCTCTCTCAAGGGGAGTCCAAGCAAGAGCACCCATCCAGCCCTCAACGGCCGTGCAAACGTTTTGGCTCCTGCAAACGGACAGGAGGCTCTTTCCTTCAGAAGCCCAACACTTCATTCCTCTAAATCCTCTTTCTTCCTCGTTTTTTCCTTTTACTTACCCAGGACAAGCGTTGCATCTCTCCTGGTGCTCTGGGCTCAGCGCTACAAACCCCAGGGTAAAGCTG